AGCACTGGAACAGGCTGCCCAGAGATTTTGTTGGGTCTCCTTCTCTAGAGACATTCAAAACCCGCCTGGACGCATTCCTGTGTGACCTAGTCTAGGTGATCCTGCTCTGGCAGGGGGGTTGGACTAGATGATCTTTCGAGGTCCCTTCCAACTCCTAATATTCTGTGATTCTGTGCAGCTTCCTGAGGAGGGGAAGTGGAGATGGAGGTGCTGAGCTCTTCTCTCTGATATCCGGTGATACGATGCGTGGGAATGGCTCAAAGCTGTGCCAGGGGAGGTTCAGACTGGACATTAGGAAGCATTTCATTACTGATAGTGTGGTCAAACACTGTAACAGGCTTCCTAGAGAGGTGGTCGATGTCCCAAGCCTTTTAGTGTTTAAGAGGCGTTTGGATGATGCCCGTAATAATATGCTTTAGCTTTTAGTCAGCCCTGAATTGGTCAGGCAGTTGGACTGGGTGATCATTTTAGGCCCCTTCCAACTGAAATATTCTATTCTATTCTATTCTATTCTATTCTATTCTATTCTATTCTATCCTATCCTATCCTATTCCATTCCATTCCATTCCATTCCATTCCATGGCTAGAAAAAAGTGTTTAGTGGTTTGTTAACTAGTGATTAGAAGAAATAATTCCTGTGCTTTCCTGACCCATAAGCATGTACGGTTTGATGAGTGTTGTAGTAAAGTTCGTATTTCTGGTCTCTCTTCATTTTTATTTCACTGAACCAAACCTGAACTATGGTCGTGGGATGTGCTTGCAAATAATTAAATATTATTTGACGGACAATCTTATGAAGTCCTACTGAGAGATCCATCTCTAGCTTGTAGAACTCCCTGCTGGCAAAGTCTAAAAAATTTTTTTTTCTCAACCTCTCCTGTGCCAGAAGATTGAAGATGTCCCATTCCACTGCCTCTGCAACAACAACCAGCAGAGGAAAGCCTTTCTTTTTTACCTTTGTGGTCCAGGGTAATAAATAATCTCGTGTTTTCTCTGAGCAGCCAACTTGTTGTTTGCCTTCACCAGCTGTAACACCTTTAAAACTTGAGGATTCTTCAACAGATATATCTCAGTGCTTGAAAAGATGATCAGGTTCACAGATACATTTATTTGCTTCCAGAGTGACTTTGAATCCAGAGAAGAGAATCATAGAATCATTTGGTTGGAAAAGACCTTTAATATCATTGAGTCCCATCATAACCTGTCCACTACTAAACCATGTCTCTAAGAATGAGCAGTTACATCTCTGTAAAATCTATGCTGTCAAATAGTGTAAGCAATGGAACTGTCAATATCCTTTTTGTCACCATTTGAAATGCAAATCCATTAGAGCCTTTTCTAGGGCATTCCCGAACTTGCTATTCCTAACAGATATGATCTATGTCTGGAATAATTTTTTTCCACCATTTCATTGGCCTGTGCTAGCAGTGGGTTAATGCTATCTGCATTATGTGTGCCAACTCTTAGAAGCAAAGAAAGTCAGAATTTAGGAGTATGAAACATCAATCCAAATATGGTATAATATAAACTGGATAGGACTAACCCCAAACCTTGACCCACTATATTCACTAGCCCAGTATATTACCATATGATTTTATTTTATTTAGCCAGAAAATTTACTGTACATGAGAAATGGTCCGTACTCAAGTTATCTCCTTATGTATGCAACAGACTTGGATTTATTCTTCCAGAGGAAGTAATCTTTTACTACTTTTGTCTCTTCTTAATAATGTGTTTTCAACCCTGACCAGAGACACTGCATAAAGTAGTATGCTCAAAATCCTAAATGTATTTCAGAGTTGTGGTCTGTGCTGCTCCTGCTGTTTGTGAGCTAACTTTGATTGTTTTACTATCATTGTTCCTATTCTTGTTACAGTTAATTGGCATTATTATTATTTAAGTTTAGTTTGGTTTAGTTATTAAATAGTCTTTATCTCAGCTGACGAGTTCTTTACTTTTAATCTCCCAATTCTCTTCCCCATCCCACTGAGGAGTGGGGGATATGTTGAGCAAGTGAACTGCGTGTGTTTAGATATTTGCCAGGTTAAACCACCACAGGAAGACAAATGCTATCACTCCGAACATCCCTCACTTCCTTCTTCTTCTCCCAGCTTTTATTGCCGAGCATGACATCATATTGTATTGAATATCCCTTTGGTCAGTTGGGGTTAGCTGTCCCAGCTGTGTCCTCTCCCAACTTCTTGTGCACCCCCAGCCAGCTCACTGGCGGGGCTGTATGAAAAGCAGAAAAGGCCTTGATGCTGTGTAAGCACTGTTTCGCAATAACTAAAACATCCCTGTGCTATCAACACTGTTTTCAGCACAAATCCAAAACATAGCCCCATACAAGCTACTATGAAGAAATTTAACTGTATCCCAGCCAAAGCCAGCACAATAGAACATATATAAATATATGTAAATCACAGTCTCACAAATACAAAACTTGCAACTGTTCAGATTTTTGATGCAATAAATTAGTTTTAGTGTTCTGGAAAATTGTCCTACAGTCTGGGAGTCAGGAACTAGCTGGCAGAAAAGAACTGTAGGAATGATTGTGTCATGAAATACATCCTGTTTGAGGAGCGGATGAGGAAAGTAGCTGCCCCGGGAGGATGTTTGCCGCCTCTGGGCTGCAGTTATGTTATGAGGATGTGCTGCTTCTCTTAGATATTTGGCTGGCTCTTCTGTATAGGCAGGGGCAGCAGGGAGACTTATGAGCTGATGGCAGAGATAGTGGCAGCTCTGGCAGTATTAGCTTCATAGTCCTTGTCCCCTCTAAGTATAAAAGCTTGTACTAGCCTCCTATAAATTGTGGAGGAGTGAAGAGCAAACCTTGGGGTACTTTCCTCCTTTGGGGAATAAGGAAGGGACCTATCCTCATAAGTAAACTTATTGTGGTAACAGGTTCCTTTAGCTTCTAGGATGGATACCCAACAGTGCAGAAGCCAATGAAAACGATTTTATCTACCTCATCAGGAAATATTATGTTCTAACTTAAATTGTCATTAAAAAATAAATTTACATGCATATTTTTGGTTTTGTTGTTGTTTTTTTTTGCAACCCTAGATTGGTGAATTATTGAGCACCACACACCCTGCCAACAAAGCCAGCTTAACTCTTTTCTGCCCTGAGGAAGGAGACTGGAAAAATTCCAACCTTGACAGACACAACCTTCAAGACTTTATTAATATAAACCCCAACTCAGTATCCATATTGCCCGAAATGGAAGGACTCTCTGAATTCACAGAGTATCTGTCAGAATCAGTAGAAGTGCCATCACCCTTTGACATTTTGGAACCTCCAACTTCAGGAGGCTTCTTGAAACTCTCCAAACCCTGCTGTTATATTTTCCCAGGCGGAAGAGGGGACTCTGCGTTGTTTGCAGTGAATGGATTCAACATGCTTATCAATGGAGGATCTGAAAGAAAATCTTGCTTTTGGAAACTTATCCGGCACTTGGACAGGGTAGACTCCATTCTACTCACTCACATTGGAGATGATAACATGCCAGGAATCAATAGCATGCTTCAGCGAAAGATAGCTGAATTAGAAGAGGAACAGTCCCAAGGGTCTACTACCAACAGTGACTGGATGAAAAATCTGATCTCACCTGATTTAGGAGTTGTATTCCTTAATGTACCTGAGAAAGTGAAGAACCTGGATCCTAACTTCAGAGTAAAAAGGAGTGTAGAAGAAGCTTGTTTTACTCTCCAGTATTTAAATAAATTGTCTATGAAACCAGAACCTCTTTTCAGAAA